TATATATATATGTTTGTGTGTGTATATGTATTTGTATATAGATATATTTGTTAATGCTATAGCGATACTTCCTTAATTATCAGTTGACGAATAAATATATGTGTGTGTGTGTCTGTGTGTGTCTGTGATGTATATGTATATGTTTCTAACTATGCTATAGCGAGAAGTACATAATTAGTAGTATACCTGACGAATAAACAGATATAGTGTAGCCGTTTATCGTATGTAGTCATTTGAACAGTTATTATTCCCGATTGGGAGTTGTCTGACACCACCTTTTGCAAGTCTCGCCACGACATGACTCGTTAAGCTACTCTTTGTCGACTCTCTACAAGAATTTGGTCGAGTTTGACTTTGTTCAATATACTTTGTTGCTAATTTCAAACGAAATTGGTTGGGAAGGAGTCTGACCTATACTTTTGAGTGATTGCGGTTCACGTACACGTGTAGATGCTTGCTTCATAAAAAAAATGGACCATCCATGCAGAATAGAGTAGGCTGGTACAACAGCGCCTCACTCCATTCGATGTTTATGCCTTAACATATGTTCGAGTTTCGATCGTATACTTCAGGATCGGTTCTGCTAGCATTTTCTTTGGATAAGAACTTCAGTTGACTAATCTTCAATAAATGGGTGGTGATCGTATGTGAAATGATTCAACTCGAATCTGGCATGAACATTCATCCCGACCCTTCCCATTAATCCATCAGAAACGTCAACAAGAATAGTACATACTCACCAATCTGATCGACTATGAAAAGAGAACTTGAATCGAACTTACATTCCAGTTCATGTTTTTAAAAGAAGGCATATGTGAATGCATTGCTCTAAAAAGTACAACAGGCATCAAAGACATACGAGCCGTACCAACTGTTCGAGTCACGATTACTACACATAAAAACGCATGATTGTAGCGCGCACTAGTGTCGCTTGCATTCAATGTTGCATACACCGTTTATACATTGACCTCAATATGAGTATCCTCGCAGTGTTGCCTCGGACTACAACATTGAAAAGAATATCCTTATAAATGTACCACGTATCATGCGCTATAACTACCTGTTACACCACTATAAAACATTCACACTCCTCAGTGATAGATTTCTTTTCTGGTAAGGGTGGTCCTAAAAAGGACCAGTTGTTTGTGTTATAATTTGTCGTGCATGCAAAGTGCCATTAGGAACGCACACTCGGATCATCCATCCTAAGCTCAAAAATGAACTTAGAACTCCTGGGACTGGGAAGCCTTGGCCTTGCCGGACTTCTTGGGCAGAAGTACAGCGTGGATGTTGGGTAGCACACCACCCTGGGCAATGGTTACACCAGATAGCAGCTTGTTCAACTCCTCATCGTTTCTTACAGCCAACTGCAAGTGACGGGGAATAATACGGGACTTCTTGTTGTCACGGGCGGCGTTACCGGCCAACTCGAGGATCTCAGCGGCAAGGTACTCTAGTACGGCAGCTAGGTATACGGGAGCTCCGGCACCTACGCGCTGAGCGTAGTTACCTTTTCTCAAGTGACGGTGGATACGACCGACGGGGAACTGTAGTCCAGCACGAGATGAACGGGTCTTGGACTTTCCAGAGGACTTGCCCCCCTTTCCTCCTTTTCCTTTTCCAGACATTGTTGTGAGTTGAGTTAAACGTTGATAATACTGAGCGAGTATGAATGATTATTTCGATCGTAACATTTCGAATATATACGGATTTGCGCCACAGTATTTTGAGTGACGCCGTGTGTTCTAGGCGGTTGAAATTTTCGCTGAGCTTCTTGTCCAATCATATTGCTCAGTGACAATATTCCGAGCCGCCACGGCCGTTGGGAATTTTGTACTGCTTCAGGGACTGTAAGACTGCCGCCTAATAAGACTACAGTTGCCCTACTACAGTCTTACAGCACTCAAGAAAATATTATTTTTAAAATTCGTACAAGTATGAAACATTGGTTGCAATTTTACGGCCGCGGCGGTTATCCCGTACTTGAACTCTTGAGGATTTTGGCGCCTGAATTATTTTTATTATTTTAGCCATAGATTCGCCCAGAACCCGGCAGGTCATGTAGCCGCTACAATGAACAAACAGCCGAAAACTCAAAAGTATATAAGCGAGTGGGGCGTTGTTTTGCATTTCACACTTCTCTTTCCAGTTAAAGTTTCACTCAAACACAATGGCCCGCACAAAACAGACCGCTCGTAAGAGTACCGGTGGGAAGGCACCTCGTAAGCAGTTGGCTACCAAGGCCGCTCGCAAGTCAGCACCCGCTACCGGTGGTGTGAAGAAGCCCCACCGTTATCGTCCTGGAACCGTCGCTCTTCGTGAAATCCGTCGTTTCCAGAAGTCCACTGAGCTGCTTATCCGCAAGCTGCCTTTCCAGCGTCTAGTGCGTGAGATCGCCCAGGATTTCAAGACTGATCTTCGTTTCCAATCCTCTGCTATCTCTGCCCTTCAGGAGGCTTCCGAGGCTTACCTTGTTGCTCTATTCGAGGACACTAACTTGTGCGCTATCCACGCCAAGCGTGTGACCATCATGCCCAAGGATGTACAGCTTGCCCGCCGCATCCGTGGTGAGCGTGCTTAAGTGCTTTATATAGCCTTGGACTCGTTTCTGTACTTCACGACTGAACACAACAACTGGTCTCTTTAGAGACCACCCTTCTGAACGAAGAAATTATCACCATTCGATATTCTTAGCAACACAATGTGTAGCACATGAATTGTCTGTTTGTATGTAGGGTCAATTGCCGTTTATATTGTAACTTGCTTGCGCTTGTATGTTGTTCACTATTTGACTTCCTGCTGCTGTTCGAGTAAGTGTGTTAATCAGACATCGGGTTTCTATATATAATATTAGATGAATTTCAGTCGATATTTACACTACACCTTAGGGCACATGCTACTGAATGAGACATCTCTTGTGGAGCATATTAAGGTTTGTGAATTTTAACATTGCACTAACCATACATGCGTTTAACATTCATTTCACGCTTGATCGGTTTATAACAGCCCTGTACTTAGGGTTGATTTCTATTCAACAACCGGTTGTTGCTATAAATGGGACACGTATCTTGAAATTTTGCTGTTATATTATTGGTGAAAACATTAGGCGAAGAACAAAGATATTACCACTTCATCTCACCACAAGGGAAGATCGTCTGTGTTAGGTAAGGAGATGCTTGTCTGAAATAGTTTGCCCGGTAGTTTTTTCCAAGTGATAGTAGTCTGCTCGTTCGAAAGGGAGTTTATTTCTTTTTCTACGTACCATTGCAGACTGCCTTCCATGAAGTGTATCTTAACAGTACTTATTGTTTTGCCAATCTCAGGGCGGAACATATTTACTGAATATCCGTTCCCGTTGGTGTGATTGGTGTGCTTGTGAGTATTCATATCCGTATGGATGATAAATAGAAGTAATGATATCTATAAAAGACGGGTCGTCAGAACTCTAATCTCCGCTCAGTGCGTCTGTTCGATGTTGATGCGTTATTTTTTATCCATCGTTTTCTAAACATATTAATATATTCGTATAAGTTGCACTTATAAACATATTCAAGTGTCCGGCTCCCGTGTTAAGATCTCATTATCAGGAGGTTGTTTGTGACGACGTTCTCAGGATACGTTTGATAGCGTGACTCACCTAGCAGGACGTTCTCAGGACACGTTTGATAGCGTGACTCACACTAGCAGATATGTGCTTGGTATCGATGTAGAAGATCGCAATCATCATCTGGTCGACCGCTGCCCTACACATACTAGCGTCGGCGTCAATAGCTCAACTAGAAATTTGGACTCATCACACATATTTGGTAACGCTGTTCAATTCGAGGCACATGATTATAAGGAGAAATGACTGCATGGTCCTACAATGTATAGCCACCAATGCTTTGGATCGTATATGTTTAGAGCAGCGTACTGTTGCAGAGGAGTAATGAACAAAGAAGCTGTTTGTACGTACATTAAATTGTTTTCAACCTGAGAACTTTCCCGATAGGTGAATGTACACCTAATCGCACAGAATCATGAAACTATATAGATAAATAAAGACAATGATATAAAACAATATATAAAGTCACACA